TTATATATTTTATTAACTTTTTACCAAAATCTGTTATTTTATTTCTTCTTTTATTGTCAAAATCTTTGTAAAACAACCCCTTAGCCACATACCTTAGGAGGAAAACCTTAGTAAGATAGTTTCATAACAAATATGTGGTAGAACTTACTATTTAATCATGACACTTCGGACTTGAATCACTCAAATCAGGACATTTCAACATTTGAGATAAGAGAGAGAAAAATGTGGATGGTAGGATCCACTCGAATGACGATGTGTCATAGAGGTTCTATAGAGACAATTATAACATTTTCAACACATTGAGGTGCTCAAACATGTTAAACACAGTACTATCTAAACTTTAAAACTTTTAAAGGGAGTTCAATTCTTAAGAACTTTTAAAGACTCCTTTATTAACTCGGAACTTATATCCAATAAAGATAGCGACGAAGTTCGAGTTCGTCGTAATGTTCAGTCTAACGTAGTAACTACGCAAAATAAAGGGAGTGAAGTATGGCATGGACTACGGTAGAAACATTCTATCAGCAGTGGACAGCTTGCAATAGAGTCCACAAATGTAATTGGTAGAGTCATGGAACAATTTAATTTTTTCCATCTACTTGCATAGATTGATTAAAGGCATCACATGCATAGATAGAATATGTGACCTCTTTCTTGCATATTTCACAGGGCAACAACTAGTAAAGTGAGTTATGCAATAATTACAGATTTTAAAAATAGGAAGACACGTGCACAATATCATTGATCCGTTTAAACAACAACAACAACAACAACATCCATACAAGTGCTAAAATCAAAGCCGTTGCTTCCAATCCTTGTTTGAGTGGCATTATTGAAAATCCTTGTGCAAATTTTCAGAAATTCTCTATACAGACAGATTGGTCAATACATTCAACTTTCTTAGTTTAATAAATAAGGCAGACACAGACAGCCAACCATCTGTGTCCGAAGCTTTGAATTCATTTCACCAAAACATGAAATAAACAGTTTTCTTTAATTGCCACTTGTTTAAGATTCATAAAATGAAGTACACTATCTTGACATCTTTAGATCTTTGTATATTCTGTCTTATCCTTGTACCAAGAAAATCTTCTGCTACTGATTTTCGGTGGCCAGCATGCCTGCCCATGAAATGTGGCAATGGTCCAAACATTAAATTTCCATTCTATATTGAAGGTTTGCAAGAATCCTACTGTGGTAACCCTGGATTTCGTCTCAACTACGGCAAACATGGCTATCCAACGATTTGTTTACCCGAAAGTGACTATATAGTTGAAAGCATTTCCTATCCTACGCATTCTTTTCGTGTTTATAATGCTGTTGTTTCTAATTCTTCAAGAGGTAGATGCCTTCCACAAATCGGAAACACGACACTTCCTATCGATGAGTTTCATTTTGTTAATGTAAAAAAGCTTTATTTGTTGTCCAATTCTAAAGAACCGTTGCCTAAGGATCTTTCGCGATACAGGGTTGTCTGCCAGGGTGAGAATAGAGATAATTTGGTTTTGGCAGTTAGGGATAAGGATGAAAATTAGCAGAAGGGATTGGAAAATTGCGAAAAAAATGTGGTGGCGCCGGTGGAAGTGCTTGGAGATGAAGAGACGATTGTAGTGGAAGAGTATGAGGAGATTTTGAGAAGAGGGTTTGAGCTGAATTATTTGTCACCCAGTGACTGTAGTACACGTGAGAAGAGATGGCGGCCGATGTGGCTTTAACGCCACTACATACAGTTTCAGATGCTTCTGCCCTGACGGACCCCATTACTTGAGTTGCGGAATTGCAGATTCAGGTGTGTTATATATCTTTTGTGGCTTTCGACTTATGGAATGTGATAATGGAAAACTTGAATTGAGAATATAAAATAAATCAGGACAAAAATTTCTTGAGACATGTTTATTGTTCACACGATAACAAACAAGACTTTAACACTACTTTCGTACTTCCATAAAAAAGTCACAAGGGTATGTTAACAGAACATTTAAGGTAAATTTAGTAGCCTAAAATTTTTCTTCTGTGTAACGTAAGTCAGTTATTGTGGTTTTCGCATAGCAACCACTGCACTACTACGATCAAGGCCTTGACCCGTGCAAATTTCTACCCTTCCCAAATAGCCATGCACACACCCACCAGTGGATCAATATTACTTGCGAGAACTTCGGAAAGGTAGCCACCTTTTTGCTATTTCTCATCCCTACAAATATCCCAATCCCATAGATTTTCCGAACCAACTCATTGCATCAACATTCTGTTAATAAGTAGCAACTTCAAACAATTTTTGTGGACTGGCCCACTGACTTTGAAATTTATGGATCGGGCCCACGTTGTTTTAACTATCTATTTATTAACAATTGCAGCATACTTGAATGTGGAAATTACGCACAGGACTCTTTCTAAAGTTTGTATTTCATAAATCATATTTTGAATTTCATATTTCAAAATTAAGGTTATAATTATTATTTAATATGTATTAAATTAATATAATACAAATAACTCTCCCACACACATTAAAAATTGTGACATCTCTCTCTTTTTTCGGAACTTTTCGTTTTTCTATCTTTTTGTCACTATGGTGTGGCTGTTGCAGTGACGTAGGTGCGTAGCGATGCTCACGACCACGTTGCTTCGCGTGTAGTAGCGCATCAGTGATGCTTACCACTACGTTTGATTTTAGGATGTTTTGGGGTGGTTTAGATCTAGGGCTGGGCAAATCTCCCGAACCGAACCGACTGAACCGAACCCGATCCGAACCCGACGGTTCTTGTCAAATTAAATACCCGAACGGATATCTGAATTGAGAACCGACGGGTACGGTTCGGTTCTCGGTTCTAGACCAAGAACCGAAGAACCGAATAAGAACCGAATCTTTCTAATTTTTTTTTATATTGAGTAAATCAAATTATTTTAATTTTAATTTTTTCTAAACAAATTAACAAATTAATGATTTCTAAATCCAAATTTTTGGCCCAATAATTTGTTTCATTTCTAATTTTTTAATTTTTGGCCCAATTACACATTTTATTGTTTCATTTCTTAGCCAAACAAGATCAAATCCACTAAATAACCCTAAACACCTACAATAAAGTGCATAACGTTGTCTCGACTCTCGCACTCACTCTTGCAGTCTATCTAATATTCCAAAACTTATACAATCGTCGGCCGACACTCTGACCTCCGATCGAAGCCGTGACTTTCCCCGACTGAAGCTTTGATCGTAGCGATCATTTGAACAAGGTAGTTTACTAATCTCTGACATTCCAAAATTATTAAATGTATCATTAGTCGTATTTATATAACGTTGTTATAAATGTTAAAAAATTTAATTATGGTACAGAACCGAACGGAACCGAACCGATCCGAACCGAACCGAATGGAACCGAACCCGAACGGTTCTATAATTATATTTGGACCCGACGGTTCCATTTACTAGATACCCGAAAAGTTTGGTTCGGTTCGGTTCTAAAGAGAACCGAACCGAACCGACCCGCGCCCACCCCTATTTAGATCTGAGATGGGAGCTGTGTTTTGGTAATTTGAATATTGAGGAGATGGTGACGAATATGGGGGTTGACGAGTGGCGGCGGCGACAAATCTAATTTGGTGGGCAGAGAAATAAGAGTTGGAAACTACTTTGGAAGTGCAGCATCTAGATTGCGGAGACAATGGTGAGTTTGAAATTTATTGTTGCTTAAAGTTTGCAAATGGTGGTGGTTCTTATTGTTGGTGGGGGTGGTGGGGATGGATGGGATGAAGAGCTCTAATCACTTAGGTTATTGTGACCAATATATTTGATAATTTGTGATCGTGAAATAAGTTGGAATTAGGTCTATGCAAAAAAATGAATAAATAAAAAAAATTAACCAAACCAATCAAATCAAACCGACTCGGGTCGGTTTGACACAAGTAATTGATTTGGTTTGATATTTTTTTTAATTAAAATCATGGTAGGTTGGTTCGGCCATGATTTGAAGTCTTATATCACTGGTTAAGCGAACAAACCAAACACATTTACATGTTTATCTTTTTTAAAGAAAAATAAAAATCAAAAGATAAGCTCTAATCTTATAACTATATTTCGATTCCCTCCAATCTAAGATGTTGCCGTCGAGTATAATACTAAAATTTTTATTTCACAAGCTCATTATGTTATACTTAGCATTTTTTTTTTCTATTCAGGCAGTTAGTTTACATAATGCATACAAAACCAACAAAATTCTCAAGTTTTTTGTTGATCTGTCTCTATTAACTTGATTTTGTTTGTTAGTCAACAATTCTTGTAATATAAAGTTATTTACTTATTTTAGTTCTTGTAATCTAAGTGAACCAAAATTCGAACATTTTTTTTTTAATAAAAATTCAATTTGATCAAAAATCCAAATCAACTAACCGAACTGAACCAAAACAAATCCACTAATTTGATTTTAGCTTCGGGTTGGAGTTGAAATTGACCCAAACCAAACTACGCCCACACTTAGTTGTGATATATGAAATTTGTGATTTGTGACCAAAAAACTATACATTATCAATTAATTTGATAACTTGTAATCGATAAATAAGTTACTATAAAATTTGTGATTGTGATCTTAAATTATATAATATTATTACATTAATATATTTAATAAAATATTTTTACTTATTTATTTAATTAATAAATTTTAATTATGACCCAATTTTTGAAATTATATACCGTATTTTTTAATTTTGAAATTGTAATTTTCAAACACCTTAAATATTTAATATTCGCAACTTGAATTGGCACAATCCCAAAACGATGCATCTAATTAGTTTGAATCCAAATATGTGATTGTGGGACCTACTAGGGGACAGAGTTAGCACTATATAAAATCAATAATACTACAACCAGGTGTTGAGTTATCAGCATCTGTGTGTGTTACATCCCACTCTTTTATAGTCAAAGTCAATAAGGACTTAAGTTGAATAAATTATTCTATTGGGGCTTAATTTATTATGAAAAATATTTTGAGGATTTAAGATGGATAAAAATTAATTTTGAGGATCTACTTATATAGTATTGAAAGATAAGGATTTAATGTGGTTTTATATGAAGGTTGGAGGACTTGTTTTGCAATTATGAGTTAGTGTCACTAAATATTAAATAAATAGCCATTTTTTTCATTCGGAGATAGATACAAAAACGAAAAAGGGGCAGAGAAGTTGAGAGAAGGAGAGAAGAGCTGAGAACGAGATAGAGAAGGAAAGAAGAGAGAGAAAAGGGGGAAGAAAAAAGGGGAAAAAAGGTGGAAAAAGAAAAGGAAAAAGATATTATTGAAGAAGATGATATATGGATTCAAATACAAAGTTCATCCTTTCTTCTATTCTATTCCAAGAGGTAAGAAAAACTCATTGTTATTCAATATTGTTAGATTTGGGTTTGTAATTAGTGGCCTAACTTAAAAGATTTGAAGGAAAGAATATATATTGGAGTTGAATATATGTTAAACTAATATGAAACAAGTTTGTAAATTAAAGCCTAAATCTTTATATTTATAGTGTATATGATATAAAACAATTAATTTATGAGGTATTACAATGAGATATGGAGTTGAGGTTGGATTTTGGTATTTTTTAAATTAATTTTCGGGCAAAATTAATGCATAGTGCTATTTTTGAAATTCTACCCAGAAAGTATCATTCCTGTCAATGGTTTTGGAGGCAGATTTCAATTTACAGAAATTGGTGCCAGATTCTTATATTATGGAATTTTAGTGCCATTTTTGTCAAACCTTGGATTTCCAAATTTTTAAAGGTTTGAATGAACCTATATGACAAATATTGAAGTCTATGTATTGGACTAACTACGTATAAGGGTTTTATATGTATTAAGGTAGTGATTTTAAGGAAGTGTGGGTGGTGTAATAAATTTAATAGTGTATGGTGATTAGTTGATAAATCATTAAAGAGAAGAACAAGTTGAGGAATTGGAGATATAAGAGTAAGTATAGAAGTTGATAAGTTAAGTGGTGGATTTATATTAATTTAATTGTTAGGTTTTAATTCGAGAAATTATATCGTTATTTCAGGTACGGACATGGAAGCTTGGAAATGCTCATCAATTTAATCAGATGTCTATCCATATATCTACGAGTGGAAAAATGTAAATTTTTTAAAGTATTTATAAATCAAGTACATTAGTAAAGTATGTGCAATTATTTGTTCGATTCTATGATTTTTACAGAAATCTCTTTTATTATAGTACATGTGGAATTTCAAAGATTATTTATGGCACATCTATGACTTGGTATGTAAGACATGTGCTATTGAGATTGGTTTGGTATGTGAGACATATAATATTGAAATCGGCCAGAAAAGTGCCCGTAATTATATATTTATTATAGCTCACAGAGGGGTCTTAGCCGTATTCTATCCTACACGAAGGGGTCTTGACCGGATATTGGTCTCGATCGTGTACATATAGTTCACAGAGGGTCTTGACCATGTTCTAGATTTGATTATCAGAGGTCTTTGAAATCGACTTTTGTTCACGGATGGGGCCAAGGGCCTATGGGGAAAGTTCTTAGCCCGAGGGGCGGATTACATATTTCAATCAGATGGTACATTTTTGAAGAATTTTTCAGTATGTTTGATGGGATGAGATTATAGCGTGATTATCAGCTGATGTTTATATCATGATTTTGAGATGATATTTTATGACCTTATGTGAATATTTCACTTTTGGTCATAATTACATGATGTTATCTTGTGAATTATTAAATGATATGAACTCAATTTTCGATAGAATTGTAAAATTGGAAAAGTATAATTATTTTCGAACTTCTTCACTCATTGAGCTATTAACTCATATATTTTCCACGATTTTTTCCTACATGTAGCAATTGATTCTTTTTAGCTGGAAGAGCCTAATGGTTTCGGAATGAGAGCCACACATGATGTAAATATTTTGGGCCCAATGCATTATGTTTTACGTAAGCATTTGATTTTGTTACATTTTTTGAAATAACTCATAGTTAGCATTAGTGATAGATTTGACATCTAGTTAGCATCTATCATCGGCACATGTCACGTTTTAGGTCCACTAGGGGATTCAGGACGGGTCGTGTCAGTGTGGGTAATTTTTTTCTTCAAATTGTCCAATGATGTTGCGTCCCATGTTCACATGTTGTTTAATCCTGTCATTGAATCTGTTTGTGTAGCATCTTTGTTTGAGCCAATTTTATGACATAAATAAGTCCAACCTAGAAGCGTTTAGCCAAAATCCTCATCTACGTCATAATATTGGATCAAAGAAACCAGTCCACACCAGATGTCTATGTCGAATCCGATTTGTCTTTTAGCATTGTAATCTATATCCCAACGCGAAAGAAACTAGGCTAAATTTTTTTATGTTGTTTTTTTTATAGTTTTGTCTTTTAGCATTGTAATCTTTAGTGGTCTAGTGATCTTCATAGTCTTAAATAATTTCCAAACTACAAAGTTCGTTGAATTGCATTGTAGTGATTTTCTAAACCAGGCAATTCGACAGAAAAGCTTAACACCAAATAAATTTATTCCACTGCTGCATGAAATCATGTGTTTATGAATCATACCCTGTAACGATTTACATGCTGAAAAGAGAGCATACTAAGAAAAATGAGTTCCAATATTATTTTTATAAGGTCTTCTTAATCCAACACGTGTTTTGACTTCAATTGTAGGAAGAAGTAAATTAAGATTGATTTTGATTGCAGGTAACTCTTCCAAATTGTACCATTTGTTTATTTATTTATTTATTTTTTTTTTTTTTTTGCTTTATAAACAGTAATGATATCATTTTTCATCACAATTGTTTCAGTTGCAGCGATAGGCTTCTTCTCCATAATCTTGTTCACTTTCAACAAGAGGAAGTACAAGCTGGATTTGAAGGGAAAGATACAAAATGATAAGGATGTTGAACTCTTCCTATTGAACAATGAGAATCTCACAACAAGAAGATACAACTGCTCTGATATTAAGAAAATGACTAACTCATTCAGTGAAAACTTAGGAGAAGGGGGCTTCGCTAGCGTGTATAGAGGAAAGTTATCCGATGGCTGTCTTGTAGTAGTAAAGATTTTAAAAGAATCCAAAGGCTATGGAGAAGAATTTATCAATGAGGTTGCAAGTATCAGTAGAACTTTCCACATTAACATTGTCACTCTCTTGGGATTTTTCTTTGAGGGTCCCAAAAGATCTCTAATTTACAAGTTCATGCCCAATGGATCTCTTGAGAATTTCAGATTCTCCAGAGCAGAAAGTCTATTAGGATGGGAACAATTGTTTCAAATTGAACTTGGCATTGCTCATGGAATAGAATACCAGCGCCAAGAATGTAATACAATGATTTTGCACTTTGTCATAAAGCCTCATAACATTCTGCTGGATAAAGACTTCAATCCTAAAGTATCAGATTTTGGCCTGGCAAGAATTTGCCCCAGTAGACCTAGTATAGTGTCAATGCCAGGGGCCAGAGGAACAATAGGGTATATAGCTTCAGAAATAGTTTGTAGAAACTTTGGAGATGTTTCTCACAATTCAGATGTCTATAGCTATGGTATGATGATTTTGAAAATGGTTGGACAGACGAAAAATATTGAAGTTGGAATTGATCATTCAAGTGAAAATTACTTTCTTGATTGGATATATAAGAAACTTAAACAAAGTGCCGAACTTGATTTGAACATCAGTATGAATGCAAATGACCATTTGGGGATAAGAAAAATGTTAATAGTTGGATTGTGGTGCATACATACTGACACTACAACTAAACCTTCAATGTGTAGGGTTATAGAAATATCGGAAGGGAATATAGAATCTCTGCAAATCCCACCCAAACCCAACTTTGTTTTACAGCCAAGAGAAGCATTAAATCCTTCAATTTCTAAGTTAGCACTTACCTTATCTGAAGTTCATGAAGTTTAGCTATGACCTCATTAAAACTTCGAGGGATCCTTGTGGTGATTGGAGGTTCCGAGTGACCATAGAGCAATTATCTTGATTGGTTGTACTATAGCAATTTGCATGTTGTTTCTGTCTCAATGTTAAATTTCACATTTGTGTAAAAACAGAGTAATTAAAGACACTCATCTACCCTTTAGTTTGTCTAGTTATTGTTATTATCTAGTACTTAAATAAGATAATGTGTTGCATTATTGCATAGCATTATTTTCTCTGATTTTTATGAAGTTGAGCTATGAGCCCATTAAAACTTCTCGAGTTGATATGATCCAGGAGTCGAGCCCGACGAAAGCAAGTGCGAGACGAGCCCCGTTGATAGTCGATGACGGACCAATGACGCGATCAAGGGCAAAGCAAGTGAAACAAGCGATGGGATTGCTCGTTCAAGAAACCATTGATGGAACCATGTTCGGGACACAAAATGGAGCAACTTTCATGTTCGGATTGAAGGTTGAATCAACTTGGATCAATTTATTATCAAGCGACGAAAGCGAAGGTTGAAGACAACACCATGCGGCCACACAGGCAAAACCACATGCGGCCGCACACATGCATACCGAAAATCAAAAGTGCAATTTCAGTTGAACCATGCGACCGCATGGATTTACACCATGCGGTTGCACAGGCCAAAAATTTGGTGAATTTTTCAATTTTGGCAATTTTCCACATTTTGTTAGATTTTGATTCTTTTCCATATTTTGGAGATTATACTTGATTTTTGCACGATTTTTACCTAGTTTTTAGGTTTAGTATAAATAGGAGTTTCCATTCAATTGTTAAAAACTTTTGACATTATTGATATTGAATTAAAGTGAGGCGTATTGTCTTTTTTTCATCGTTCTTCATTGAACAATTTCGAACTTATCAAGTGATAACTTGTGGCATTCAAACAACCGGATTTAATTCTTGGATTGCGTGATCAAGGGGTCTTTCAAGCGTCATTCTTGTTGGGTTTTTTGGTTCGACTTTCTTTTGGGTTAATCCTAAACTCTTGGATTAATTTGGCTTTCTTAAGTTCGTCAATCTCGTTGTGGGTTTCGTAGTCAAAGTTACTACGGGGTTCGCATCACGAGTTCTGGTGGTTATTGGAGGCTCCTAATGACCAAGCACCGAAGTAGTTATCTCTGTTGTTTGTGCTCTAGCAATTGTAAGTTGTTAATGTTAGAATGCTAAACAAGAATTACATGGAATATCACAATTTTCTTTAATTTAAGAATACAAGATCGTTATTATGTGTTCACGTGTAAATTACAAACAAGAAACTTAGATTAAGAATTTATTCAAACTCGATAATCAAATTTTGATCCGAATTTGAATCACGAATTTTCTACTTTCTTAAATTACGAAATACTTTGTTTTCAAGAACTTGGTGATTTAAACCTTCAAGTCTTTTATGATATTCTTCAAATCTTTTATTATATTTTTTAAAGTCAAAATTATATTGACATGTAGGTAGGGTTAGACAAAAATCTACCATAATTGCTCAAACCGACTAACCTAACCCAAATCGATCGGTTTGGATTTGTTTTTAAGTTCAATTAGGTTGAATTGTGTTGAAAAATTAAATTTGAGGTCGAGTCAGATTGGGTTTTGGTCTATGAATTAAAATCTAATTCCATCCAACCCAATTCGATGAATTAAAAATTTAATAATTAAAATGAAGAAAACCTAAATAGAGACAATATTAGAGACGAGAATGATTCAAAATGTACAAATGTTCCATTTTTACACATAGGCTGATTGGTATGAATACTATGTACAAATGCAAATAGTTCGATAATAAACTAAAAATTAATTACATGATAATGAAATGAATAAATCTAAAAAAATTATAAAAAGAAAGTGTTCCATAGTTTCAAACTTATTTATAAATTAATTTTTCGAAAGAATTTCCTCCATAAATTAAAAATAACGGAGATTTTCAAGTGATTTCAAACTTTAAAAATTGTTCAAATTCAACCAAAGAAATCGAATCCAACTTGAATTGGTCCAAGCCCAAATTGATCAACCTAACCCAACCCAAGCCAATCCATCGATTTGGGAAGGGTTGGGTTAAAAATAATAATTGGGTTGGGGTTGGATAAAAAAATAACCCAATCCAACCCATGCCCAACCCTATATGTAGGCACATTTTCTAATTAATTTGAAAATCAAGAAAAGATCAAAAAAACAAGATACATTAAAAAAAAAAAAAAGTTTGTCTCTCTTTTCTTATGTATACTAGTCGATGTCACGTGCGTTGCACGATTATTGTATTTAATGTGTCTTTATTAACGTGATGTAGAGATTTTAGTTTTCTTGGCATAATCCTAACATGCTTTTGAAGTTTGAATTGAATTGTTTGGCATAAATCTTCTCTCGCAGTTAGTAAAAATTAGATTTAAAATTGTAGAAATATAAGTAAAAGATAATTTATAATTTTGTGCGGGGACGTGCGAGGAAGTCCCCGCACAAACTGTGCGGGGACGAAAAATAAGCTGGTTGTTTGTGTGGGGACGAAAAATAAGCTGGTTAGTATAAGCACACCCAAACTCCGTGCTAAATAAGCTGGTTTGCTTCTTATTTAGACTTGGCCAAACATGCTATATGTTCTTACAAGAGAAAATAAAATCACATCTTTGGCTACCAGAATACCAAGGGCATATTTGATTCCATGTATATTTTAATGGCATGTTTGGGATTAAATACAACTGACAATAAAATAATTTAACTTATTTTCTTTTCTTGAGTATTGGCTACTCGCTTTGTCAAACATACCATAATTGGACAACATTAAATATTGAGGATTGAAAAGCAAATTAAACGGGACCATAACAAGAGGGAAAAAAAATCCAACTTGCACAATGAAAATTGAGTCAACCAACTGACCTCAAGAAAACCAATCTCTCTTTCCATCATCTGAACATTGACCAACGCCCGCCGCTTCCTGTACAAATCCAAGTACTCTGGTGGTGACTTTGGCAGTGGCCATGAACCACCGCCTCCTGAACCATTCATTTTTCTAAACTTTCCCACCACCGTCCACCAATGAATATATTTGTAAAAATATATATATATATATACACAAGCGTTTACAGAATACAGTCTGAGTAGAATTTGTGAAGGAATCCAAAAACTTCCCAGAAAAGAGAAATATACAGCCTGCCTATATAGTGCGGGGACTCCGCACCAATTTCGTGTGGGGAAGTCTCCGCACAGTTTATTCGGGGTTCCCGCACCAAAATGTACTTGAGATTGTAGAGTTGGTTGGTGGTGCACATACAACTCAGAGATATGTTTTCAAGAACTGATCAGAGGGCATAATAGAATTTTACATTATCTGCACGTTTGTGATTCCTGTGTACAATTTGCATCAATCTTCTTGTTGTAGTTTTGCATCCCTATCTCCCTGCAACGCTCTCTATAGGTGTGGTTGGAGTAGTGGTCAGCACAGAAAACCTTTTGGCTCTTTACTGTCAGTATAAAAAATAGAAAACTTTGATTCATTTGTTTCTTGAACAACAGAGATCCGACTCTATTTTGAAGATAATTGTGTCGACTATCATTCCACGTTCTTCCATGATAAATTGACTTCAGCTCTTGGCTAGGAGCTGCTGCAATATTTATGTCTCTGTTTCTTGGGAAGTGGCGTTCCAGTTCTTCGTGCATGTTGGTATGGAATATAGTAGGCTTAGAATGTACAAAATTTTAGCTGTTTTTTATATTTTGATTTGATTTACCAAACCAGCTATTGAAGGAGTGTTAAGAAGTTGACATTATCAGTGTTGTTCCCATTCCTTGAATTGGGAATTGCTCGTCAGTAAATTCTCTTTCTAAATATAGTGCAATAAAAAATAATTTTTGAAGCTACTTCTTTATTAAGTTGCATAAACATAAATCATAAGTTACTATGTATTCAAACTATTGTAAATTCTCAAATTTTCTATTTCTTAAAAATAAATTGAAGGCCTATATAAATCTTATTATTTTTTCCACACAAGTAATAAATAATTAAAATATTTTTAAAGAATGTAATAACGAGTAACATATATATTTTATTTGAACCTAATTATAATTAAATTCTTGTTTCGATCCCAATTGAAAACAAATTCACTGATTCGATAAATGCCCATGCACGTAGAAGTGGACAAATCATGTAAAGATTTTTGAAATATTACAAATTGGAACAAAATTAGGCATTACCAAAGTTAAAATTTAAAGAAAACATTAGTCATTCTTTTCCTTGTAAAATTTATTTTGTCATCACTTAGGATGCATTCATTTTTAAAAAAATAAAAAACCAAATAAAAAAATGAAGAATAAACAAAAAAAAGAGAGAGAGTTTGGAGAAACTCTCCGCACTGTGCGGAGAGAATTGATCTCTCTACACAGTTCGGAGAGATCACTTGATCTCTCCCCACAGTGCAAAGTTGATCCGCACTTTATGCGGATGCGGAGTGTGTGGAGTAACTCCGCACTTTGTGGGAGCATATGTCAAAGGCAAACTAAGAAAATAAAAAATCAAATAGTTTGAATTTAATAAAATCAAAGAGAATAAAAAAGAAAGAGAAATGGGGAAAAAATCATTGCGTGCGGAGCATCCGAAGAGTTTGAAGATAACTCGACATTGGTGAAAAACTATGGTAATCTAGAAAAAAAAAACCAAATAGATAAAACGAAAAAAAAAAACCAAGAGCGGAGAGTTTGGAGAGTTTCTCCAAAGAGTTTGGAGACTCTCTGTAGAGTCTCTCCAAACTCTCCGCACAGTGCGGAGAGATTTTTTTTTTTTTTTTTTGGTTAAGCTATTTTATTTGTTTCTTATGTAGGAATGTTTACATATATATTATATATCAAAGGTAAACTAAAATAATAAAAAATCAAATAGTTTAAATTTAAAAAAACCAAAGAGAATAAAAAGAAAGATAAACTTGGAAAATAAATCTAGCTCTAGAGAGTTTGGAAATAATGAAAAATATGGTAATATGAAAAAATAAAATACCAAATAAAAAAATGAAGAATAAACAAAAATAAAAAAGTTTTTCCAAACTCTCCGGAGAGTTTGGAGAAACTCTCTGCACAGTGTGGAGCAATTTTTTTTATAGCATTAACAATAAAATTAGTAAAATTCAATCTTCGGTATTCCAACAAAAATGAATTCACCAAATTAACATCACACATCACACTAAAGCAATACTTTCTTGGTATTCCAACAAAAATGAATTTATCAAATTAACGTCAATTTACCCAACTAAAATCAGGTAATACGTTCTAGGAAAATAATTAATTATACAGCCTAAACAAGAAGGTGAAAAGGAAAATATGCATTTTTTATACAACTT